GAGTAAGGTGCTTCTCCCAAAAGTCTGATGTCTTCTGAAAACATAAGGGAGGACCTTGCATCAACTCTTCCCAGCAAACACCTGTGCTATGTGTCTTGGGGCAAGAGGCTCAACCTTTAAGGGGATAGATCACCTGGAAATTCCCTGGGGCTAGGAGGACTAACTGCACCAAGAATGCTCAGGAACCCAGGGGTGGAGGCCAGATAACAGGCTCTCAAGCTTCATCAGCCCCTGAAAGGTCCAAGCCCCAGTCCCTGCCAGTGCGGGGAGGGGGGGAGACAAAAATCAGCGGTGTGCCTGTCCCAGTCCCCTCCCTTGCCCCGTCCTATCTGGCCTCTCTCTCCTCCTTCTAGGGCTCAGGGCCGCCGGAGGGCTGGGGAGACTTGACCTGGTCGAGTCCCACCTTCCAGATCCCCGCGCAAAGACACTCACAGCTCAGGGGCCCGGAGCCCCGCTCGGGCGCTTCTCTGGCCCGCACCTCTCGGCCCGGCGCGCGGTGGCCTCCGCCTCCTCCATGCCGCGCACGGCCCCGCCCCGGCCGCCGGCCCCGCCCCCCCGCTTCCGCCGCCGCCGCTGCGGGGTGAGAGGGCGGCGGGCGGGGCTCTGAGCACGGCGGGCGGCGCCTTTTTTCTGGTAGGGAGGCTAGGGTGCACGCCGCTCTACGCAGCCACGCTCCGGGCTCTGCCGAAAGCCTACGGATTAGGGGCGGGAACCTGCCACCCTGGACCCCAGAACTGTCCAGGCGGGGCTCCATAGAGCTAAAGGCGACGGTTCCGAGGCCCAGGTCATGCACACCCCTTGAAGGGAAGCGGATTGAAAACCTGGTCCTGCCGTCCTAAGCACCTAAGAATGAATGCAGCACTAGGACTTGAGGCAGTCAGGCCGAGCTCTGCCTTGCTCTTGGTGACTGTGGCTTGTGAGAGAGCATTGCTCCACTTTGAGTGCAAGTGCTAAGACAGAATGACTTGATAGCCCATTTGTGCTAGTAGATAACCGATGGGTACACCAAACTGCTGAGGACCTTGCCCAACTTCACAGCACAGTCAGAATACAAACTGAAAAATAAGTCAATTGTGCTAATACTAAACACAATTACTAGGCTGGGAAGATAGCTCAGCTGCATAAGTGCTTGCCTGGCAAGCGCAAGGTCCTGAGTTCGAGCCCCGGTATAAAAAAAAATACTGAGCTGGGCATCGTAGCACAAGCCTACAATCCCAGCATTGGAGAGACTGAGGCAGGAGGATTGCCATGAGTTGGAGACCAGCCTGGGCTACATAGCCCCCAACCAGCCTGTGATTTTTTTTTTTTCCAGAACGGGGAGTTGAACGCAGGCCCTTGCACTTGCCATGCAAGTGCTTATTCTACTGAGCCATCTCCCCGGCCCCTGAGCCATCTCCCCAGCCCTCAGCCTGTGATTTTGTCACACACACCAGACTACCAAATAACAAAAGTGCCTCACCTGAATCACATAAAAGGAAGGGTTCCTAAACCCAGCGTGGTGGCACATACCTATAATCCCAGCACTCAGGCAGCTGAGGCAGAAAGATCACAGTGAGCTCCAGACCAGTCTGGGCTACGTAATGAGTTCAAACTGTGATTCTATCAGACCATTTGGTGAACATGTCACAAGGTCAGCAGCTGTCCTGCTTTCAGCTCAGCTTGACCGTTCTGCTTGATATAGCCCTTGGAACTGCCAACAAGTTCACTACTTTCAACAAACTCGAGCTTGCTTGGCCTGTAGGGGGTCTGTGTCTTACTCCGCTGCCTGTGGTGATTGTTTCTATCTCTAGATTTTCTGCTTTCATTCTAGCCTCTGAGTGCTGTGGCCATTGTTATCCCTCTCTCAGCCACTGTGTAACCTGTAATTATTGTGCAGTGTGAGATGTGCCTTCAGCGCTACAGGTGTTAGAAATTAAGATTGGAATCTGGCAATTTGGTGGTGACCACTTGTGATAGCAGCTTCTAGGAGGCTGAGGCAGGAGAAGATTGAGTTTCAACTCAGCATGGACTACACAACATAGACCCCACAAACAAAATACAAAAATTGAAAGAGGGGGCTGGGGAGATGGCTCAGTAGAATAAGCGCTTGCCTGGCAAGCTCAAGGGCCTGAGTTCAATCCCCAGTTCTGGAAAAAAAAAAAAAAAATTGAAAGAGCCTATGCTTGCCTAGATTTCTAGTGAAATCTAGAAATCTAGAGTACTCAGCAAGTAAAAGCTTGACATTGGCATAGCTTGTGAATTGATTGTTACACAATAAATTCTGACATTGTGGAAAGGCAAACATACCTACTCTATGTTAATGGAATAGTTAGCTCACAGCATTATCCTGATCTTAGATAAAGAAAGAGTCATGAAACTAGGAGAGCTGGAATTGAAGCCTTCATGGCCTGGCCCCAGGTTCTGCTCTCAGTGTTTACTGAGTCAGTTGTGAAGTTTATTTTGTTTGGTTTGCAGTGCTGGGAATCAAAATATTGGGCTTAATGCATGCAATCCTACCACTGAGCTACCTCCCTCCTAGCACCTGAAAGTTGTGGAGTTTAAATGAGAAGATACACAAATCATTTAGCTTAGCATATGGTTCCCAAAATTTAGCTTGTGTCTGAATCTCCTGGAGGACTTGTTGAAACAGATCACAGGCTTCTGTCCCTAGAGTTTTAGATTTAGTGGCTAGCCAGGGCAGATGTTTTTCTTTTCTTTTTTCTGTACTAGGGATTGAACAAAGGGTTTTGTTGTATGTGTATCTTTTTGTGTGTGCGTGTGTCTTTCTGAGACAGGGTCTCACTATGCAGTTCAGGCTGGTCTTGAAGTTGCAATGATCCTCCTGCCACTGCTTCCTGAGTGCTGGGATTATAGACATGCCCACCACACCTGGATGTTTTGTTTTGTTTTTGAGACAGGGTCTCGATCTGCTTTGCAGGCTGGCTTCAAACTCTTAGCCATCATCCACCCCAGCCTTCTGAGTGTTAGGATTACAGGTGTGTGCCACCGCACCTGCCATCATTTGTTTCTTGAACAAATAATTATTAGATATTATTATAAAGAAATGAATGCAATCAGTCACCCATTCCTGTCAGTTTTACCTCCTAAAGAGCCTACCAGGCTGGGGATATAGCTCAGTGGAACAGCACCTACCTGGAAAGTGCAAGTCCTGAGTTCAATTTCTAGCACCCCGTCACCAGACACATGCCCTCCATCCTGGTCTAATTCTTCTAGCACTTGACTATAAGCTCCTAGTCCATGTTAGTTTCTTTTCTTTTTTAAACTGTATTTAGTACACAGTCTACAGGGTCTCACTACACAGATTTGACTCTTAGTGATCCTCTTGTTTTCATCCTCCTAAGCACTGGATTATAGGTGTGCCACCATGCCCAGTCTCAGTCGCCATCTCAGCGCTCCCTGGTGGCGGGGCCAGCACAGCACACTAGGGATCAAACCCTGGCCCCTGTGATCTGAGCTTTCAAGATCAACCTGGGCTACATTAGGAGTTCTAGGTCAGCCCGAGCTACACAGTGAGACTGTTTCTTTATTTTATTTCCTTTTTTTTTTTTTTTCTTTCTGTATTTTAGGGAAGGGTTTACAGCATGTTCAGGGTCTCACTAATAGATCAGACCCTCCTGTTTACAGCCTCCCAAGTGCTGGGATTATAGGCACACACCACCAGGCCAGTCTCAATTGCCATCTCAGCATGCCCCGGGGGCAGGGCCAGCACGGTGGAACCAGGGATTGGACTCAGGCCCTTGTACTTACCAGGGAAGTGCTTATTCCACTGAGCCATCTCCCTGGCCCCAGACTCTGTTTCAAAAAGCCCTAAACAGGCGGGGGAGATAGCTCAGTAGAATAAGTGCTTGCCTGGCAAGTGCAAGGGCCTGAGTTCAATCCCCAGTAAAAAAAAAAAAAAAAAAAAGCCCTAAATAAATAAAAGAATAAATAAGGCAGTAATGTTATAAATCTATTACCCAGAATTATGAGTGTAATGACTAAAACTAGTTGCCTTTGGGAAATGAGCCTACAGATATGAAAGAAAACTTTTAAAAGATTATCTTATGTAAATTCTTCTAAAACCATTGGCTAGAATTGGACTAAAGGCTAAAGCAAAACAGTTTTTCATAGCTCCTCACCACCTGTATTCTTTCTTTCTTTCTTTCTTTCTTACTGTGAAGTCCAAAAACTATTTATTTTGGTACCAACTCAAGACCTTGCACTTGAAGTCCAAATACTTTAAAACCACATTCTAGAGCATTATTACTTAAAATGTGGTCTCCAGCACTATGGCCATCACATCCTAAACTGTCAGAAATTCAAAATGAAAAAAAAAAAAAAATGGAGAATGAGTCCAGGTGTGGTAGCAAACACTTGTGAACCCAGCGCTTGAACGGAGGCCGGAGGATCAGATCGATGCAAGTTTGAGGCCAGCCTGGGCTACATAGTGAGTTCAAGCCTAGCCTGAACTACACAGCGTGAATAGGGAAACCCAGTCTCAACAACAACAAAAAAGAAAAGCATAACCGAAGGCCCCAGCCCAAATTTACAGAACCAGAAGCTGTCTTGCTTTATTCCCCCAAACTGGCCCTGAACTCCTGATCTTCCTGCCTCAGCCCCAGCATAGCTAGGGGTACTGAGGGAGTCGCTGTGCGCAGCGGAACCTGCAATCCGAATGATTCATTCCCCGCTAACCTCGGTACAAAGCATCCTGCTTGTAAACCCATGCGAGGTGTAGTCCCTGAGGACTCCTGCTTTAACCCTGATAGCTCTCACTTTCTGCGCCTTGGGTGTGAATCCTAGCCCCAGGGAGGTGTGAAAGACTAGCTAAATTCTACACTGTTTTCAGACCCAGCTCGGCTACTCCAGGAAGCTTTCCACACCCTCTGCAGTTCTGTTGCCACCGGTCCTAAAACTCCGACATCTCTGGCCTGGGGGCATCTGAGTCTTCTTCGGTCGCCGAGCATTTATTGGACGCCTGCTGTGCGCTTGGCAGGACTCACTGGCAGGTTGGAGAGGAGGCGCCGGGGCCCCGCCGCTGCTCCTTCAGCTCTGAATCCAGGATCGCCAGCCAACGCCAGAGGTGGTGTGCGCGCCACTGGAGTATTTCTCTGCCCTAGCTCTGCGTGGCTTCTCGGAGCCTTACGGCTCCCGCCTCCGCCCCCGCGGGTTCCGAGCTCAGAGCCGCCGGGAACGCAAGACCTGGAGCGGGACCCAGGAGCCGCGCCCGCCTAGCCCTGTCCCGGGTGGGCCCTCATGGAGGGCCCGGCGGAGCCCCCGACTCCTGATCTGCGGGATGTGGAGGGCAAGGTGGGCAGGAAGACCCCTGAAGGGCTGCTCCGAGGGTTGCGAGGAGACTGGGAGCTCGGAACCTCGGACGCCCTACTGCTCCCGGGGGCGCCGGGCCCCGGCCCTGGCCTGGGGGACAAGATCCTGGCGCTGAGGCTGGAGCTGGTGAGTGTGGGCGCCGCGAGCCGTGGGCCCCAGAGTTAGGCTGAAGAGGAGGGAGTTAAAAACTGCCCACCTAACTGATCAGACTCCTTCCTAGATCATTTCGTAAACCCTGAGGTGCCGGCATGGACAGAGTGACAGGCATTCATTGTCCCCCGAGAAGGGATGGGTGTGGAGGGGTCCTAAGGCCTGGGCACAGGTTTTGGGTTTTTAATTTTTTTTTTAAATTTTTGAGACATGGTCTCACTATGTAGTTCAGGCTGGCCTTGAACTTGTGGAGATCCTCCAGCTTCAGCCGCCCTAGTGCTGGGATCACAGGCCTGTGCCACTGCACCTGACAGCACAGGTTTCTGGGGTTTTTGTTTGTTTGTTTTGTTTATGCCAAATGAGAGGGGCGGTGAGGGCTGGGAAGTACTGAGAACCTAGCTCAGCCCAAATTTTCCTCCTCCCTGTAGGGGTTACCTATTCTTCCAGTCCCAGTTTTTATAAGGCAATCAGTGTTGTTGTTTTTCCCTCTTTCTGCAAACTGGGAAAGTGTTTGTTTTTTGGTGGAAGCGGGGATTGAACTCAGGCCCTTGCACTTGCCAGGCAAGCGCTTATCCTACTGAGCTATCTCCCTGGCCCCTGGGAAAGTGTTTGGTCCCTGTGAGGCTCAATGTTCATGACCACATGTGGCATGGAAGATCCTGGCGTGGTGGTGTGTGTACTCAAAACCGCCTGATACTGGAAACATCTCTTTCTCTTTCTGAAAGTTGTAGCCTGTAGCAGAGTAGGGAGAGCAGAGTAGCAGCTCAGTCAGTGCAGCTCCTTTGCCCACTCTCTTTTCCTCGCACTGTAGCCTTCTCCCCTCCCTGGAGTTACTGGTCTAGATTCAGAGCCAAAAGGGCAGCTGAGGCCCCAGCAGGCACCCCAAGGCCCTAGTTCCTGGGAAGGGGGTGGCTTACACCTGTCACCACTTTGCAGCCAGTTCTCACAAACTGAGGAGTTGCTAGCTGCCCCCTGGCCCTGGCCCAGGACCAAGAGCTTACAGTGACTTGGAGTTTGCAGGGAGTAGGTTTTCCTAGAGCCCCACTGTGTGCCCAGCTCTGCCAAGCTGAACAGGCAGGGAGTAGGGGGGAGGGGTCACTTTTGGGAGCCCAGCCCAGTTCAGGCTGCCAGCCCATGGTAGGAGAGGCCCCAAGGGTGGAGTGGTCAGGAAAGACTCTCTGGGGGCAGGACTTGAATGCCAAGTGTGCAATTGGCCTTCAAGGTCTGAGGTGAAGGCCAAATTCCCTAGAGCAGAGCTGTGACTGTACCCTTGGGGGAAGGGCTGGCCCAGGCTCCTTGTACAAACTTGAGCTCAGGGCTCAAAGAGCCTACTAGTCGGCTCTGCTTTGGAAATGAGTTTTTACCTAAGCACATCTGCCAGCCATCCTGTGAGCATCTTACATAATATTCTTTTAATACAGCAGCCCTGTTAGATGAATGATATTTACAGAGAAAGAAATTGAGACACAGAGAGGTTTATTAGTTGCCCACCATCATGTACACAGTAAAAAGCAAAGTCAGAATTTAAACATGGATTATCTGACCATGCTTTACATCTTTATGGTTGATACTTCCTTTGTACCAGACATTTAATCACAATTTATGTCACTAAAATGAGCAAAGTGGTCATCAGTTCTTCTGTCTCATGTTCAAAAGTTTGCCTGAGCCCACACCAGGAAATCTGGAGCCATGCCTGATCTCTCTGGTTCTTACCCTTCCCAGGTTAGTGGCTGCTACCCATTTATAAATCTTTTTTTTTTTTTTTTTTTTTTTTTTCGGAACCAGGGATTGAACTCAGACCCTTGTGCTTGCCAGGCAAGTGCTTATTCTACGTGCTTGCTATCTCCCTGGCCCCTATAAACCTTACAGGAGTATATTTCACATCTTATTTTGTTTCTTTGTACTATATTAAAAAAAAAAAAAAAGTCTTGTGGCCGGGGAGATGGCTCAGTAGACTAAGTGCCGCTTCCCTGGCAAGCACAAAGGCCTGAGTTCAATCGCTGGTTCCACACAAAAAAAAGACATTTAATTACAATTTATGTCACTAAAATGAGCAGTCTTGCCATGTGTCCCAGCCTGGCTTCAAATTTGAGATCCCATTCCTCAACTTTCTAAGTGCCAGAGCTACACATATACCATGATACCCAACTGTCCTTGTATTCTTGACCCATCCTTTTCTTAAATTTTTATTTATTTATTTATTTATTTATTTTTTGTATTTTAGTACAAGGTCTACAGGGTCTCACCACATAGGTCGAACTCCTAGTGATCTGCCTGCGTTCAGCTTCCATTGAGCTGGGATTACAGGTGTGCACTACCATGCCCAGTCTCATCTCAGCGTGCCCCAGGGGTGGGGCCAGCACAGCAGGCAGGGGATTGAATCAACCTCCCCCCTCAGCCCCTGGGTCTGCCTAAGCTAGTGCTTTAATATGCTGAGCTATTTGGACAGCCTCTTTCTTTCTTTCTTTCTTTCTTTCTTTCTTTCTTTCTTTCTTTTTTGAGACAGGGTCTTGCTGTGCAGTTCAGGCTGACCTTGAGCTCACTTTGTAGCCCAGGCTGGCCTTGAATTTGCAGCAATCCTCCTGCCTCAGCCTCGCTAGTGTTGGGATCATAGATGAGTCACCATGCCTGTCCTTCTTGACCCATCTTGCATGGGGCCTAAGACTGCCCATGAAGAGCAAGGAGAGGATTCCTGTCCCATTCCTTGCTCCCTCCTGTGACTAGGATGTCACTGATCTCTTCGAGCACTGTGCCTTGCCCACAAGTAGTACCCAAGAAAAGACAAAGGCTGGGACAAGGGGTTTCTCTTGGAGCCTGTGGAGGCAGGACTGGTCTACCCTCTAAGGACTGTCCCCATCTCCCTGCTGTCCTTATAGGAAGGGGACAGGCCAATTCTGGAGGCCAAGGTCAGCCCTGCCTCTGGCTCTGCTCCCTTCTGCTTCACTCCCCCTTTAGAGTTTGAGTCAAGAGCCAGACCTTGGGATCTGGGAGAATAGGGAACAATAGCAACTTCCTGCCCACCCAAAGAACAGTTGTTGCTAAGACAACCCACCTCCACAGGACAGTTTATGAAAATACTTTAAGCCAGGAGGTGAAATGCATGGGTTCAAGCCCTGGCTCTGCATCAAAATTATTTTGTGATCTTGAGTAGAGGCCTATGTCTCTTATGACCTTTTTTTTTTTTTTTTTCTTTTTTCTCTTGGTGGCTGGGAGAAAGAGGGAACTGTGGAACCACATGATCTGTAAGAGCCTTTCGGGTAACAACAGTGAGAATCTTGATCCACCCCCAGGGAGCTAAAACTGGATCTACCAGGCTTTTACCCAAGGGCCTGATTTGGACTGAGCAAGCAGGGAGCCAGACCCAGGATTCTAGGGGCTGGGCAGAGTTGGATGTGCTTCTGGAGAGGAGTGGGGCGAGTGGGAGCCCCTGGGAAAGAGAATTGGGTTGGAACAGCCACCAATACTGCATTTCTCCCGAGCTGTTTCCGATGAGATAGTGTGAAATGAATGTTTCTTTTTCTGGCAAGAAAGCCTGACTTTCTTCTATTCTGGGAAGTGATGTTGTCACAGTAAAGGGATCCCACTATCACAGGATGATGGAATTCATTTCCCAGTGGCTCACTACAGCCTCAACCCTCTCCCCTCCCCCACCCTTGCCCTGGTGACTAGGAGAGCAGCAAGGGCCACAGAACTGAATGTGACTTGGGCAACACTAGGCAGAGCACCAGAAGTGACCTGGCAGGATCTGCTCCCAGGGAGCTCAGACTCTGGCTTAGGGAAGGATGGAAATAGACCCACAACTCCAGTACACAATCAGTGATAAGCGCTGTTTGAGCCAACAGAGGGCCTCTCCCAACCACGGAGTGGAGTGTCAGGTCTGTGCCGCTGGAGTTGGCTGGGCTGCACGAGCTGGTTGGAATGCTTCCCATGTCTGTCTGGCTAAGGCCTGTGTGATCTTCAATCCCAGCTTCCTTCTCTCATCTCGGAAGAATTTCTGACTTCTCTGGGTCACACTCTGGGCCTCTAGGTACTCACAGCCCTCTGTGGCAGCTGGTTTCCCTAGTGTTCATCTTACTGACATTTAAGGGCTTGCTTCATTGGCTGGCTGATCTTTCCCACTTGACTGAGCCCTCTGGGAGCAAGAAATGGGGCCTTTCTTCCTTTTGACTAACACAGTGCCTATAAGAAGCATATAATAAATACTTGTCCTGTAAGAGAAGGGGTTAATTCCATCCTGAGGAAGGGCAGGGAAAATTTCCCAGAGCAGCTAGCATTTGAGTGAGGCCTAGAAGAAAGGTCAGTGGGAATTCCATTCAAGAGGACAAGACAGGTGTGGTGGTGCACACCTATAATCCCAGCACACTGAAGGCTGAGGTAGGAGGACCACTATGAGTTTGAGACCAGCCTGAATGACGTAGTGAGAACTTATCTCAAAAGGACAAAAACAAAGCAAAACAAAATCACAGACTAAGCACATACGCTTACCTGCATTATTGCCTTCAACTCCATCAGAGTCCAAGGAAGCCCAGCATGAAGGCACCTGCCTGGAGTTCCACCACTTGGAGAAGATGAGGCAAAGGATTGCAAACTGAAGCCTCAGCTGTATAATTTAGTGACTTAGTGAGAGCCTATCCAAAAATTAAAATAAGAAGGGCAAGGCTAGGCATGGTGGTACATGCCTGTAATTCCAGCACTCACTAGGCTGAGGCAGGAGGACTGCTACATGTTCAAGGACATCCTGGGCTCTAAAGTGAGCTCAAGGCCAGCCTGAACTGTATAGTGAGACCCTGTCTCAAAAAGGCAAAAAAAAAAAAAAAAAA